TTGGAAGTTGTTTTACGTGATGTATCAGTATCTCTATATTTATATTTCGGTTACATATTTTTTTACCTTTTCAAGAAAAATACAATGTAGAAATAAATCTATCATCCCGTGTATATATGTACATTTTGATACACGATTTCAGTTATCTTCAAGCATGACAACTTTATTTTTTACAATATTTTATAAAATCCACATCTATAAATAACTACATGGCATTGTACAAAACCATGAAAAGGGCATAAAACAAAAATCCTGGAAGGCTTGTTTCTAGAAAGTGAACCTAAATAATTTTAAAGTGATCAGGTGGGCAGAACATCCCATCTATTAAACTTCATTTTAAAAATCAACAAAATCAAAAGCCTAAAAATTAGAAAACACATCGGTCAAAATAAATCCAATAATAGTTTATATTTGTGAAAAGATCAATATAGCGACCATAACATGTAAGTAATGCTGACTTTTAACAAGGTTGGTGAAATCCTTGTAACAAACTTATCTGTCAGTAGCCTGCCTAGGTCTAAAAATAGATCGTTTTCGGAGCATAACCTTGAGAATGAGAACTAGAGTTAGAATAGATCTGGAATGGACTAGAAGCTGCACTTCCCACCATCTTTGATATCAACAATTTAAAAAAGTCGTCCCTGCAACTTCTTTTGATATAAACAACTAAAAGGTTCATTCCTCTTCAAAGAAAGAGAGAAAGATCCAAAAGTTTTCTCGGAAGCGGGGATATGGTGTTAAAAATACTCTGAAATATTGTGACGAAAAACATAAACAAAATAAATAAACGAAACGCAATAAATAAACAAGCAAACAAAAAATGGGAAGGGAAACTAGCCAGTGTTGAAAACCAAATCATGTTTCTCTACTTGGATGGAAGGGCCGCTTCAAAAATTCCTCACAAACTATCCTGTGTTTCCCCGATTCGGGGGGGGGGGGGGGGTGAGGGGGTGTTCAATGTTTTATTTTGGCTACTATATTACAAATATTAAATAATGCTGAAAGTTAGAGTTGTGTACATGTATCTAAGGCAAACAAATTTTGATTAAAAGAACTACAAAAATGAAGAAAATAGCCCAGTCACAAATACAAAAAAAAAATTCTTTAAATATACATGGTACTTATCCCATAAAGGGGAGATTATCCCCCCTTTTACATCCTCTACTTAAAAAAATAAATATGTATTTATTGTTAAGTTCGTTTTTGAACTGTTTGCAACTATGCAAAAACAGATCACTAAACCTTTTATTTTGAAAAAAATCTGTATTTCTATTTCAACATTATAGGTTATTAATGTTGCGCATAACTAAATAAACACGTGCATCAGTGCATCATGCATAAAACTCACCATTTTCCTAATTCTAATATTAGGAATTTTAAAATTAAAATAAATGAAGTGTTGTAAGCAAAAAAAAAAAAAAAAAAAGAGCAAATTTATGAACTAAATTGTATATTGTTTAACTATGTTTACTAATATTCTGGATATACATTAACAAATGTACATCTTTTAAATAAATATTATACGAAATATTGCAATATTAAGCTACATGAAACTTTGAAATATATGATATTTTAAAAATATTTCATTTTAAGAATATAACTGAATTACAGAATTAAGTGTGCATTGTTTATATTGGTGTCGGAAGCAAATTGAAAGTGCGGGGGGGAGGGGGGGGGTAATTGAAAAGTAAGAAAAATTCAAATCTGAAAAAAAATTGACAAGAAAAAAAAATAATTCCATTGTCCAAACTAGTAGTCCAAAACCAAAAATCCTATTGAGGGGGGTCTGGTGGATCCAATAACTGTTTTAAAAAGACACTACCACTTACTCTTCTTTTTTACTATACTGTAACGTGCCTGATGAAAGCAGGGGGGGGGGGGACTAACCCAACTTCACATTGTGCAATGCCTATATTATGTCTATCTTTGCAAAAAAGGGGGTAAGCATCCCTAACCCCAGCACCCCATTACCAACGCTATGATTTAAAACACAATTGTGAAAACCAAGTCATAAATATGTGTTTTTATGCTGTTGAATTTTGAACCGGTTTCATATTCAAAATTCCACGACCCGGCTCAGTTTTCAACGTACTAGGGTCTAAATTCAACACCTTTGGTGTCACTATTCAACGTTGAAAAATGACCCCCGAGTCAATTTTCAACCCGGGTCAAAATTCAACGTTACACCGGATCCAACCTGAAAAAAAAACAGGTAAAAGGAGGGACAAATAGATAGACAGAAGGAGGGCCTGGAGGAATTAAGAGCATATGAGGAAAAGATGTCATTTTTTTCCAATTTCATTACAGTGATCAATTGATTGACTTGCATGATAATATCATGTATAATGGCCAAAGATGTTTATACAAATAAACACGAAAACAAATCTATTGATCAAATCATGAAATAAAAAAATAAGGCAGTTGTTTCTTAAATAAACAGAGTATTATAGAGTTAGAGAAATTAATGATAATTACATTGACATTTCAGTTAAATAATCTTGACTGAAAAATTATACTCGACAAATTCAATAAAGAATTCTTCAAAAGCCCCAATACTTACTAAAATGCCCTAAGAGCATCCTGATAGTTTGGAAATTGACAATAATCTATAATAAGATCTTTTCAAAGCTAAATCTGGTGGAAAATAATTAAGTTTAATTTTCAGCTTTAAAAAATAAAAAATATGGGAACCAGTATCAATCACAGAAATAAATTATTAATGTACCAAAAAAATATTCTTGTTCAATGTAATTCATTTTTGTAGGTGTGAAGCCTTATTCCTTCAATAAATATTATTCCAAATTGTTTCTATGTGCGTACTGTTCATAAATAACCTTCGAATGCATGTAAGGTTTCCTGGTATACTATACTCAGAATCAATCTCAACTGTCTTTTACAGTCCCATTGTATATTGGATTTTTATTCTGAAAACTGTCCTTGCACTTTCGATGGGAATCACGGATACGTTTATCCATGTGTAACCACACCACTATGATAAATAAATATCTTATATACAAATATATAATTAATTATTTTCTTTTAGTTTTAATGATAAGGTTAAAATATAAGTTATGATTTCATACTTTTTAAATATTTTCAATATCATTAATTAGTGAATCTAATCCCCTGGATCTCTTATGCAGTGTTATGTTAAGGATGGTGACGTCATATTTGATGGGAGACTTTCTACATCTTATTTTCTACAGTATTGTTATCAAATTTTGTAATTTTACAAGATATATATAAATATTTTTCGAAATAAATGAATTCAAGTTGTTATAAATATGTCATCATTTCGCTAATTTGATCTTCGTTGCTTGCTTAAATATTCATAACAGCAAAATTAAACTTCAAATGCGGTGTACTACGAATGCGAAGTCGCACTTTTCTTAAGATAGCTGAAGAGACAGTATATTGCTTAATGGGTTATCTGTTGTTTTACTTTCCTATTAACATAATGAATGAATAAGAACTATGTACGAATTCTTTTAATGAAAGATTTCGGTATCCCACCGTTCCATAAACAGAAGTACCCTTTTACACGCCACAACAAACAAAAAAGCAAAGATATTCGGTTTTGAGTAAAAGCCACACAATCCCTTTTCCTAAAGTGTTAACACGTATCAAATATAAATTCTTATTGTTTATCAAAATATATTATCATCTTCTGTAATTAACATGTACCATTTGAGTGAAAGTTATGATCGTTTTCGTCTGCTCCAAATTACTTATTACACCTTTTTTACGTTTTGCAGTTCATCTTCTAAAACTAATACTGTATACAGGAAAATTTTCGCCCTGTTTAATTTTCCCCTTTCGCCTTCTTCGGAAGTGCGCGAATTTAAAACGGGGCAAATTCAAATTAAACAGTATGATATCTTAAGCAAAAATCTTTCTGGGCGAATCGAGGAAAACTTGTTTCCAAAAATGAAAGGGCGAAAATTACACGGGGCGAAAATAACCCCGTATACAGTACTGCAATCAAAGTTATCGATTGTAAAAGTAACAATGTTCATACAATTACAATACTTGTGTAGTAGAGAATTATAATGCCGTAATATGACGTCACGGTTTTCAGTCGAAATGACATGTCTTGGGTTTATCGTAGAAAACAAGATCAAATTCCCCTGTACTAGTCCAAATGCATTTGAAGGTACAGTTTGGGCATTATTGTGCCCTAAAAAATTTAATGCTCTTAAAAAATTATGAAATTTGCTTTATAAATAGTTGAGCAGGTGAATATGATAGATCATAAATGAATATGATATAAAGAAGGAAGATTTTGGAAATATAACGTCATTAGTTTGGTACATTTCTAAGTTTTATGCAGAATAGCCTCAGAATGACTTATTTTGTATTAGATAACAGTGTCTGCCACCGTCGCCCCTTTAGGTGTTGTATTCATTATGTGAAATGCTTTTAAAAAATCGCATATTTTATATTTTTTCAGGCGACGGCGGCAGAGTCTGTTTTCTGATAGAGGTTCCACTGAAAATTGATGTCTTCCGCAACTTTTTAAGAAATGCACGTTAATGACGTCGCAAATGAAGGTCAGATGAGAAAAATGATTTGTGTATTCTTCCTCCATGGAATTCCTATTATTCAGAAAAAAGATTATAATTTCTTGTATTACATTCATATTTTAGAAAAATACAGGACTTATTTTGTATTGAAAATGTCTTTGTTTTTAATTTTTTGCAGCGCATACTAGTATTCTAACACAGATCTGCTTACTATATCTCCCCTTGAATTATTTTGCAAACGGATCATATTTTCATTTTGATAGATAAACTTTAAAATAAGAAGAGACAACAACTGTTATATATATTCTATGATCCTTTGTTTATTTATATTTTTTCGCTTAACATGCACCTTATATAACTATACAGAGTGATTTAGGACAAAACCCATATTGGCGACCCGTGAGCGTATCTTATCATCCTTCGTGAGCATTGCTATGCACTTTTAACGTACATGCTATCTTAACCGAACACTAGTATTAATGACCATTCCATTTCGTATTTGCTAGCAAAACGGAACATGCACAATTTGAAATTCTCGTTGTTTACTCTTTGCCTCTGTTTGTTCATGGTCAATAGCAAAGAAACAGAACAACTCTTAAAGATTTCTGTACCAGTTACCGAAGTGGAGCATGTTGGTTTTCATGATTTTTTTTTAAATATGTGTATTTTTTATATAAGTTTATTTCTCCAAAAAGGGTACTAATTTGAATTTCTACCTTTTTTAGAGTGACCAGTATCTGTGTCATGCCTTTCGTCTCGATGAAGTAAAGGAAGCCTTTATAAGTATGTAAATTATTGATTTCTTTACAATTATTTTTTCGTAATTTATAAGTTCAGAATTTATCTGATAAAATTGTGTGATATATTACCAGATCAAAAATAATAAGAGAAAAAAATCTCGCGGTGACGGATATGAAAAATGTTTGGATGAATTTAATCTTGAATATTGTTCTTAATCTCCTCATGTTTCCGCCTCTCAAGTTCTTTCTTAAAATAGCCTACACTGGCTGTGCTATTGTTGACACACCAATCGTGTAGAATCGTTCGTGTATCGTGAGTGATCGTTCGTGTAATGTGCAAGATCGTTCGTGTATCAATCGTGTGCGTTTTTAATCGTGCGAGATCGTGCGTTTAGAATCTTGTAAATTCGTTTTGTAAGTTTTAATCGGAATGTTATTTGTAAAATAAGCATTACCTTAGTTTGTTTTTCTTAATTTATTAATTAAAATCCAAATAAAATGAAAAAGCGCAATTTACATAAAAGAATACAGAACGAACTAATTATCGCCCGTTAACAAGCAATATAGTAAGTCGTACAATATTAAGTTCTCTTCAAAAAGCGCGATGAATATTGTGATAAACCGTACTTAGATCTTTAACGCCTTTTTGACAAATCTGATTTTAATTATTATTAACTTCTTATTGTGGTCAAGATAATCTTGAAATCAATTCATTGAAAATAAATAAATATATATATATATATATATATATATTACAAAGAAATAAACATTTCTCAATGCTTACAATAAGCGTTAAGTGTAACTAGTTAGTCGACAAATATACATTTACACGGCATGATTTGCAGGAGTTTTGATTATCTGTGTTTATCTCTTGAGCCTATTTGTAATTAATTAATTTTAAATTTCTGTAAATAAAATTTAAATTCCATGACCCGACTCAGTTTTCAACGGACTGGGGGCTAAATTCAACTGCATAAAAACACGTTTATGACTTGGTTTTCACAACTGTGATTTAATTCATAGACGTTGGTACAGGGGAGGGGAGTTAGGGATGCTGACCTTTTTTTTTTGCAAAGATAGACATAATATATGTATCGAACAATGTGAAATTAGGTAAGTTTCTCACTGCTTTCAACTGGCACGTTACAGTGTGGTAAAACAAGAAGAGTAAGTTGAATAATTGGCAAGTTTATCAGACATTGAATCATTGGAAACATAAGGATAAAAATTGTAATTATAAATTAAGTCATTCCATAATGCCATTTTTGTTCAATCGTATCCCCCTTTCTGCATATCATGATATCCAATTCAATCAAATTATACGACCCACACACATGTACATCGTCTAATAGAATGAACAAAATCCGTTTTTTTATCGGAGAATTACCTTAGAAATAATTATTTTTAATCTAAAATATTAAGTCTTGCATATATTTAGTTACAGAAATATCATTTTCCGTTTTTTTTCTTCAAAGTCTATGAAATAATATTGATAATTTTTTGAAGTCTTAAATAAGTATTAAGCCGTATTTCGATTTGAAAATATAAAATTCCTAAATATTTTGAACTATTTTGAGTGAAGAATCGTGCGTTTGCGTTAACAATCGTGTAAGATCGTGTAACGTGTAGAATCGTGAACGTGAAAGATCGTTCGTGTAACAGGTTTAATCGTGCGTTAATCGTGCGGAATCGTTCGTGTAACGTGATCGTTCGTGTAAGTTGTCAACAATAACATTCCAGCCACTGTAGTTAAATTCCTTCACGAAGGCGATCCGCATTTAGCCTGCAAATGTTCACAGTGAAATATGGAATTCCTAGCATTATCAAAACTTTATTATTTGTAGATAGAGTAATGAACTGCATTGAAGCTTAACTTACTTATTCTGGGGGATAACACAACAAGGTTTAAAGAAGTCACATTGAACTTGTTGACATGATGTTATTATAAAAAAAATGAAGCATTAATACACAGCGAATAATTTTTCTACGATGGAAAAATGTGTTTCAATATTATAAGTAATGTCATTAACACACTTAGTATAGACCATAACTACTAAAGGTAGATGTTAAGTCAACTTCGCATTTACCCAAAATACTACTCTGCCCCTCTGAAACTTTTTGAAACTTATAATTAGTTTACTTAAGACGTCAAAGAAAATTCGTCTGTAGCTGAGTGTTGCTGAAAGCAAAGTCCTGAATGCAGGCATTATGATCAGCTGCCTTGCGATAAATAGCAGTTTAAAACCGTAAATTAAGAGCCTTACAACGTCCAAGCAGACTTTCCGAGAATAAAGATACAGTAAAACTCGGTTATATCGAGAACTCCGGGGCCTATGAAATTACTACTCTATATTCGTTATTCGTCATTTTCATATAAAGAAATCGTTAAATTTATTTATCTAGGGGCCCAGTTCGCAAGGCAACGTCTAGAGGAGGTTTCTATGAATTGACTAATTAAAACGCATAAGGGCTGAATTTATTGCACAGGAAAAATTAAAACTTGTTTTCTTACACAACCTTGCAATCCTTGACGTGCCCAAGCCAGTGCATGATTGAAGTCATATTATGAGGTCATAGTCCTGTACTTCACCAGTTTATAAGGAATATGAACAACATAATTTCCGCACAAGGGCATTCTCAACTTCGTTCTTCAGAAAGTTGAAACTGGGTAAACAATTACTGTCCGATTTGATTTACCTAAACTTTTATCAATTGAGAAAGCTCCCAGAATTTTATAAATTTTTATAACATTCATCTTTGCAGGTATGATAAGACTGTTCGAAGAATTAAAATACCTTAAAATATACATGTAACTTTGAGCTAGCTTTTAATTTCAGAATGTTATCCTTGTTTGAGATTACGGTCAACATGATATAATAGTTGAATCAGGTATTAAAATAAATCAATTTTGTGACGTCCAACTCTGTCTACAGATGTGTATGGGGAGTGTTTCACATATAATTTTTCTCTATCGTTTGTATTATGTGCATATTGGACAAGCGAAAGGAAAAAGCATATTTAAATTTCAAATGTTCAACTTCATAACAGCATAACGGAGCTTAAAAACAACCCTAACAATTGAATTTAACAACAAGGCCCCGATATAAATCTACATTCGATGTACAGATTATGACACTTTCCCCGTCATGTTAGCTCAAGTATGACTTGACGTCATATTCTATTATAACGTCATATCTAGGTAGTTCAGAGAAGTAACTACAGTCTGAACAGTTTGACATTTTTCGGACAGCTTTATCCTAGCTTTATGAGAATATATATAGGATATGCCCTTGCGTCGGCGTTATTTTGTTGATTTGTTTATTACATTTAATGACAAAGATCAATGTCGTCATGATATAGCGTCATTATCTGCAGTTGCTTTCTAATGCTGTATGTACTAAGTATATATATGAAAATAAGCTTGAACCTTCATTGTGTAAAAATTACACAAATTATGCATTTTCATAAGAAAAGCATCTACCTAGCCTCAACCTATCTGTGAAGATTACTTCGCTTTATCTGTTAATCTGCGATATCTGTGTACGTACTTACATCCCAGCAGGCATTTCAAATTTGATTCAACGTTGAATCAACGTTACACTTCAACGTTGAATCAACGTTGAATTTTGGTTGAATATGAAAGTTGAGCCAACGTTGAGACATAACGTTGTTTCAACGTATCAATTTTCAAAGTTGAATAAACCTTGAAAATGGGTTGAATTTTTGGTTGATTTATGGTTGATTTTTGGTTGCAAATGAAAGTTGAGGCAACGTTGAAGCTTCAACGTTGTTTCAACGTCAAATATCAACATTGAACAAAAGTGAACATTGGTTGAAATTAGGTTGAATTTGGTTGAAAATTTTTGGTTGTACAAACGTTGATATTTAGTTGAAATCACGTTGAATTCATATTACATTTTGCTTCATAAACAAATACATTTCAAATTCTAATAAAAAAATTATTCAAGTTGTGTAATATTTAGATAAGTTGTAATCCAGTATTATGATTGTGAGAGAATTTATTTTTCATGTATTCTTAAGACAAACACAAATTCGGATTCAATCACTGAATCTCAAAAATCACTGCTTTACAAAATTTATATTCCTGATAAAAAGCGGGTCACAGTAATCACATCCAGGTCCTTCAAAGTACGCGTCTGTCTTACACCACTATGTTCCACAAAGTGGCAGATCCATTGATTTTAATCACGCATATAGTTAAGTCCCACGAATGAAAGAAATGAACAGGAGAATCCACCCTCTAAAGCAAAAGCCTATTGATAAAAGAAATAAAAATGTTAAAGTCATTTGTTCGATAAAATGTACGTAACACGTTATTTCAAACGATAAAAATAAATATACATGAATGATTTAAAAAATCAGACAAAGGAATATATTCCGGTACTTGGATTTAATTAACATGATTAAAAGAATTATAGTTGACTTCATGTTAAAATTCGTATGAGTATGCTTATAAATAATTATTACTAAAGAAAAATGTTATAGACATACATATACAAAGTGTACTTACAAAATGTTGCATTCTGATACAATCAAGGCTGACTATAACCCTGCACCACTGGTTGATTTAACCTTACGACGAACTACAATTAGTTAACTTGTATGATATATTAGTATATTAGATTATATCTTATAACCAAATGAATATCAACAAAACACATATATAATACAAGAACCAATGATGTGCATTTCACGTAGATTTCAAATATACTTATAAAACAAGAATTAAATGATGAACAGATACTAAAAAAAACTTAATTTCTTAAATTCATGAAAAGGAAATAACACTTACTGAGCAGAAGTTGATATTCCAGCCTTAATTCTTTTGTATATAGCTTGAAAACACATTAGATATGAACAACAAGGAGAAGCGCACTTCTTGTCCATCAGTTGAATTCAAATTTTGACCTAGATAAGCTGCAAACAGCTATACTCTGCCCAGCAAGAAAATTGCATAACAAGGTTATCCTGACACTGAAACTGACCAACTAAGCGAGAGGCACTCCTTATCTGATATCTCGA